CCTGAATGAAAACCTATGGGAGATTTTGGAGCTTTCTTTCCTTTAATTTGTTATTAATCTGTGTGTCTTGGGGTTTGCTCAGAACTTTGCTTCGTTTGCTTCATGTGGCTTCTGTGAACTCACAACCTTCCCATTTATTTCTGATCAAGCTCCCACAGCCTTATTCACTGAGCAATTTAGGTTCTCTGGAACATGAATACAAATAATATACAGACAATATCTACTAATCACAATGTCTGTAATAATGTGTGTGCCAGTATTAATAGTCAATATATGATTATATTATTATTATTATAATTACACTAAACTACTACACTAATAGATGTATATGCTAATGGTTCATTTGCACAACTATGATAAGATAATAGCCTACAATATTCTTTGTCATAAAGAACTAAGAAAAAAAGGCTGCTCACTAAGGCCGAGACTATTTTTTTGGAAAAAAAGCCTCATTGCTGCAATGCTTAAAAAAAAACCCAGATAAGTGCGTCAGCAGATGAATGAGGTCAGAAGGAATGGAAACTGTCTATTTTTTGTGACTTTCCCTACTGTATCTGAGAAAAACAAACTCTCCAGCTGCCACGGTTAAGCGTAATGGAGGCCGTGTGCTATTAGGGCTCACCTTCCAAAAAAAATAAAAAAAATAAAAAAATCTATGAATCATGTTCCCCTGTTGTCAGCTAGAATGTGAGCGGTCAGGGAAAAAAAAGTTTCCTTCAACCAAATAAGCATGTTCACGGGTTCTTCCGGCTCTGATTTAGCAGCTACTATATCTACACCATGACTCAGCTCCTCTTATGTTTAAAAGCAGGGGAAACGACTGAGCTTTGTGGCCACCTATTCAGGATCCACATTAATTCAAGCGTAACAGATGGCTTCAAACAGGACTATTGATCTGAATACATTTAGTCAAATATTTAAAAAAAAAAAAATTATTCACACAAATGTGACATAGGTGTATTTGGCCTGTCCAGTTTTAGTCCAGATGTCCACTACTAAAAAAAAGAAGACAACATTTTTACTACAGCAATACATTTGTCAGCTTCCTACCTCCTGTAGTTGGTCTCCGTGCCTCTAGAGGCCCCCTGTGTTCCCCTCTGCCTTAGTTCTTCCTCGTGTGTCCTTGCTAGCATTATCCAGGTCACCTGTGCCTTGTTTTCCCTAGGGTATTTCAGTTGTGTTTTTTTCCCCTTGTTCCTCACTTGGCTGTGAGTTTCCTGCTTTGTTTCATCAGTCTTCCAAGCTACCTCAAGCGGAGTTTTTATTTTTCCAAGTGTTTTTTTTTTTTTTTTTTTTTACTATCTCTACTATTATTAATACTTCTGTCTGAGAAGAACTTTTGTTGGATTCTTTTTTTTTTCTTGTTGCAAAGACCTTTTTTTTTAAACATCTATTTTATTTTATTTTTTTGGGTCCAACATTACCGGCTCTGTGGCTAAGTGGTAGAACTCTCGAACCGCCACACCAGAGACCCGCGTTCAAGCCCAGCTTGTGACAGGATTAAAATGATTTAAAATTAAACTACAGTGCTCTTTGCATTCTCGATTCTGATTGGTCAGAAGATGCTGCTTTAATTTTCTCTAACAGCAGCTCTGATAGTCATGTGGCTGTAATTCAAACCACAGGTTTATATTAATGTGTTTGTTTTAATACGTTATCGTTTCTATAGTAACGTCTTACACAGTTGTCTGGTGGACACATCATCTAAGCCTAATAATAAACCCAAAAATGTGTCGTTATTTAATAAATATTGTGCGTTGAGTGTTGAATCTCAACTTCTGCTCCATGTGCAGTGGCATGTGAGGGGTATGACTGCTAGCTTGTGGGTTCAAATCCCACAAAAGCGGCAGAGCCACTAATTCTGTGACATAAAACCAAACCCTCTAATACTGAGACATAAAAACAAATTCTAGTATTTTTTAGCCATTGAATTGATGGTATTTTATGATCATACTGTGAATCAAATCAACTCAACTTTTATTTATAAAGCACTTTCAAAACCATTAAAATGGACCAAAATGCTGTCCATAGATAAGAAAAATACTAAAATTCACGGAAACATAAAATAACAAGACATAACCTCAAGAAACGCATACAGCCGATCCTTCACAATTCTCCGACCTAATCAAATGCCGAAAGCTTGATAAAATAAATAGGTCTTCAAGTCCTTTTTAAAAATGTCCATGCTTGATGAGGATCTTATAGATAATGGTAACACATTCCAGAGTGCAGAAAACGCGGTCTGCACTACGCCTCAACCGAGACCGTGGGAGTCATGTGGTATAAAAGATAAAGTGATGCATGTGTTGTGCAAAAACAGGACAACAGCTCTTACTCATGCTTTTTCTGCTCTCACTGATTCCTGCGTGTGCCACACGTACTGCAGACAGAAGGCCTTGAGATGACTTCAATGAGAGAGGAATAGAGCACCAGAAGGAGGAGCAGGAGCAGTAAATAAGCAAAGAGAAAGAAAAGTGAACAAGATATAATAGCTAAAAAAGTAAATAACGGTCAAATTGTACATGTAGATCAGTGTGTACTGCATTCATCTCCATTCAAGCACACATGCAATGACGGCTCAGTTTTCGCACATGCATTCTTTTTTATATAAGAGATTCACAAGCATGTGAAGATAATGCACATACATGCAGACCGAGGACTCAATGTATAATTCTCAAGAGTATCAAATCCATTTTGTTGCAGATGCATATTGTATAGAAAGCTAAACTGGCATGTTTTGAAGCCGTACCTAATACTTTATGATCTGTTCTCTCTCTCTCTCTCTCTCGAGCTGTACGTGCACATGATGCCAATGCCTGGTGCTGACGCATTTCTACTGCTGTGGCTTCACTCGCCCTCCGGAGCTGCTTGATTCATCCTGATGCTCGACTTCTGCTTGGAGCTTTCTTGCACTTCTGACTCATTCTCTGCTGCTGCGGATGCTCCCACACGGATACTCTAAAGATTTTATCTTTCCAAAAAACAGTTTATGCCCAAGTCTCGCACTTGCTTCACTGGATAATCTGTGTTTCTTAGAGGCTAGTCAGAATCCACAGCATAGGTCAAGTCACAAGCAGGCAATATCAAACAAGGTATATCCATAATCACTTAGGTGAAGAACAAGTGAGAATAAAAATCAGAAAACATGGAAACACACAAACAAGGAGGCCTGGACTGGAGTTATGGGTCACGTGTAGTAGCTATATTAATTACTAATTATAATGTGTGTGTGTGTCTGCAGCACCTAGTCTTACTCTACCAGACACTGAGGTCAAATGCCTCCTGTTTGCAGATGATCTGGTGCTGTTCTCACCCACAAAAGAAGGTCTTCAACAGCATCTTAACCTCCTGCACACCTTTTATCAGACATAGGCACTGTCAGTTATCCCCAAAAAGACTAAAGTAATGATATTCTGAAAAAGACATCATAGCTTCGAATTAGACAGCTTGCTCCTTGAATGCACTCAGAACTACACATACCTCGGTATAGTCATTAGCAGCACAGGAAACTTCAATAAGGCTGTGAATGACCTGAGTGAAAGAGCACGAAGGGCTTTTTACACTATTAAGAAAAATATCAAAAGTGACATCCCAATCAGAATCTGGCTAAAAATAATTCAGTTGGTTCTAGAACCCATCGTGCTCTACGGATGTGAGGGCTCCAAATAATGCCTGCAGACCAGAATTAGGACTGTACCCACTAATAATTAAAATAAAAAAAAAATATTTAATTCCATGCCCACCTAAAAAAATAGTGATACAGAGACCCTCCGTCACAAAGCCCTAAGATACCAAGAGCTAACCCCAGAGAGAAGCTCCCTCAGCCAGCTGGTCTCAGAGATGACTTTACAATCCAAAACATGTCCAGCCAAACCCCAGATCGATCAAATCAAATTATTAAAACACAAAAAGAAAAATATCTAGAGAGAGAGAGAGAGACAGAGAGAGACATACAGAGACACAGCAAGAGAGAGAGAGAGAGAGAGAGAGAGAGAGAGACATACAGAGACACAGAAAGAGAGACAGAGAGAGACATACAGAGACACAGAGAGAGAGAGAGAGAGAGAGAGAGAGAGAGAGAGAGAGACATACAGAGACACAGCAAGAGAGAGAGAGAGAGAGAGAGACATACAGAGACACAGCAAGAGAGACAGAGAGAGACATACAGAGACACAGCAAGAGAGAGAGACGGGAAGAGAGACAGACAAATAGACAGACAGAGAAAAAGAGACAGACAGACATAATTACAGAGCGAGATAGGGAGATTGAGAAACAGACTTACTGTGTGTGTGTGAGAAGTGAAATTTAATGTTCTGTATTTAGTCTGATGGCGCTCGTCCAGCCTGACAGATAAAAGTTCACTGTTGAACAGTTGACCTTAATCATAACGTCGTGGCTCATCGACCAAAAATGTCTGCTTCAGTTCTAAATTTGTGCTTCCACTTTTCATCCAGTTTCCCCTGTTCCTTTAGTGATGTTTTTGTCCGTTCTCTTAAAAAAAAAAATCCCTGACTTAGTCAAACTGCCCCCTTACTCATTTGAAGATGATGGTTTGAATTGTCTAGAGAATTACAGTAAAAGTACATGAGATAATAGGTTTATATTCATCCCTGTGCCTAAATTAGCCTGCTCTCATGTAGAATCGTGTAATGGGAATTAGAACGAGTGCTTTCATTGGATTCCAGATGAATGAATTTTTAGAGAAACTTCAACAGCTAGCCCTGCCTTTAACCCTAACATTAACCTTGATAACCTTTCAACATTAAGCTTGAGTTGAAAATAATCCCCTTTGGAGTGGTGACAGTAACTCTGCTTCGCACTGGGGAGCGTCACACCAGGGTAAAACAAAGATCAGGTGATAATAGCCAGTCGTGGTGTAATGTCATTTTGGTTTTAGAGAACAGCTAACATTAGCTAGCTAGAAGTTAGCAAAACTTAGTAATAATGAGGCAAAATTCTAGCATGAGTCATACATATTAATTATCAACAAATATTTTAGTTCCATGGAGGATTAGTGGCTAAGCCTTGGTGCTCTTGACGCTGCAGCCTGGGTTCGATCCCTGGCCAGGGAACCAACCCTAGCCCCTGGGGCTGCACATGACAGTGCACTCGCGGTGCTGGTCCTAAGCCCAGATAAAACTGAGAAGGAAAGAAGAAGAAGAACATTATGGTCATGAAAGTGTGTTTTTCAAATAAATAAATATTTATTTTATTTATGCTAGCTAACTATCTAGCTTAGCTAGTTATCAAACAGTCATTTTATTTGTAGCCTTAAGTATGTATGTAGTAGTATCTGACAGGTGAGATTTCTTATAGTTTTATTTTTGTAATCATGAAGTTTTGGTTCCTACTGCATGGGAAACTGTGATACTGCTCTAATTACCTTATTTGTTCATGTTTTTTGGCAGGGAAGCTGTCATCGCAAGCAGTGATGCTTATTTACGCTTGGATAGAGGTAACTCACTGAGTCTGGATTAGTCTGCTTGTCATTTATATAATAGGAAAAGTAGCTCAATTGAAGAGAAGTTCTCTCTACATCACACTGAAAATGAATGGGAGTAAACTTTTAGGCACTGAATTTGCTTTCATTGTGCACATAGCCTTATCCACCTTTGGTACTGGTAATTCCAGCAAGAGCAGTCTGCAATATTACAGTAACTGATTAGCAGGATCAGCTAGGCTATTGTGATGTGCCATACATGTGGCTCTCACACACCTATACTTCCAGGTGAAAGATAAAGAAGCTTATTTATTAGGGACATCAGCGATGAGGGATCTCTCCATTCTAATAGGTGGCATGCTAAATAATAACAACAACAACAACATTACTACTACTACTACTACTACTACTACTAATAATAATAATAATAAATGTGTGTGAATGTGAGGGCACACTATATAGTGACTAGCACTATATACACACGAGGCATTCCTTAAATAAAAACAACAAAACACCACAAGAATCAACAAAAAATAAACTTCCCCTGACAAAACAAACAAAAACGAAGAGCAGCAAAAATATCCATCAGTAAAATAAACACAAAACAAACAAACAAACAAAAACAATTTCCCCTATGAAGAAACCTAAGTCTAAACAAAAAGGCAAAACAAACTGAAAAAAACTCAAAAAACAAACAAATGAAAAATATAAAAAAAACAACATAAATCCACAAAACAACAAACAAACAAAAACAAACTCCTCAAAGAAAAACAAATCTACAAAAAAAACAACCAACTTAACTAAACAAACAACAAACAACACACACACACACACACACACACACACACACACACACACACACACACACACACCGGAAAAAAACCCACATTCTGTAAGTCACTGTATGTGTTGCAGTCTGAGTAATGGTTGCAATATTCAATATGGTCAGTAGGTGGAGGCAGGAGTCTTTTTTGGACCACCGGAAGTTAAGTACAAAAAAAAAAGACCTACTTTTTTTTGTTACTTTTCTCCCATCTTTCCCTCTTACATCCTGTATACCCTGATCCAATTCTAATTTTGAAAATAACATAATATGATCGTACGTGGAGAGAGGGATCACCTAATGGTTTTAGTACAGCCCTCTAGACTAATGCTCTGGTGTGAGAAGAGTGATTTACCAATGACCTTGTGCTTTGTCTGAGCAGAGGAGGTTGTTGTATAGGTGTTCTCTCTGTGTTCTCCTGTGCAAAGCCCAGCTTGCTCAGTCAGCCTCAAGGAACTGGCAGAAAAATATCAAACAATCAGCCTGCTGCAGCAAGAAAAAAAAATCAGCATGACCAAGCCAGCAACAGGGGAGAGAGAGGATGTGGACTGTTTATGCAGCATTTTGCTGTATGATACTGCTGAGGGGATTAAAGTCTCGCTGCAAAACAGGAACTTGGGGCTTATAAGGAAAATTCTAAGGGCTTTCTGCAAAGGGCACAATGCATGTTGCACGTTGCACACATAATCTTTCCACTGATGCATGTTTTTGATGCAATAATTATTTATTGCATGCACCATGCATAAGTTGTAGAAATTAAAACTTAAAAAAAAGTACTAAAAACCACTAGCCGAATTTCACCTTAGACTGTGAGTAATCCGGACATTGCGGACATCCGGACCCTCTAGCCTTTGGGTTTGAGCTCAGTGCAATTCAGAAGATGAATTTGCAGAGTACAACGAGTTTGATGAATAGCAACTGAACTTTTCCTTGCACTTTGCAAATCACCTGCGTCATAGAAAGAGAGAGAGAAAAAAAAGAAGAAAGACAGAGCGAGAGTTGTGCTTATATAATGGAGTTCTTCTAGTTTTCCCTGAGCATTTGCCGAAAGCCTGGCCGTGCAAACGGTCAACAGCTGGCAACGGTTCCCATGGCAACAGTTCGGTCGACTTGGCCAACTCCAGATATGGATTTCCTGTTGAAGATGTGAAATATCTCTCTCTCCCTCCCCCCCTCTAGCGCTCTCTCTCTCTCTGTGCAGGATATTAATTACACAAAAAAGTAAGGAAGAGCTAGATGGGGCCGTAAGAGTGTGATGGACTGTCTGTGAAGGGAATTGATTAGATGTTAAGCGAGGAAGTAATGAGTGGAGAGATGGTTGGTGACACAGTAATAATCTGAGGTTATTTGATTTTCTGTCTAGGAACAAATTAGCAATACTTTAAAGTTACATTGACAGAGAGGCCTAGTAGATGCTGTTTAGGCCAGAAAGTGCTCGAGACAAATGATTGCACAGGAAGAGTAAATGAATCCACCATATGTCTATGTTTGCCTGCCACCTGCAAATGACCATGGCTGTCTGACCAGAAAAAACAAACATGAGATCAGGCTGAAAGAGAGCAAGCATCGATAATTACAGCACAGTTCTTTCAAGCATAAGTAGCATAAATATCACTGTCACATAAATGACCCTCTGTTGCTGAAGGCTGTCTACATAATGCTTTGCTAATTAGCTTGTTTTTCCTACTTTTAAACTAATATTTCGAGGTGAATTGGGGACAGAAATACAGTAAACAAGGCTAACGTGTTCACTGGTCTGGAACTTTACATATCCAGCTCAGTTTCTCTAATGAATGTGGAAATCCTGCTCACATTAATATTACAGCAATTATGTTCCCATTTTGACTTAAATGTAACAAAGAGTCGAGTCCCAGCAATGCAACAGTCATTCACAGCCAAGTCCAAGAGAGCAAAACTGTCCACCAGCAAAACTGGTATCACTCTCTCCTGGACAGTGGATTTAGAAAGTATTCTGACCCCTTTACTCGTTGCACACTTTATTGTGTTGTGGGTTCGATTTTGAATGGATATAACTGACATTTTTACCCATCAGTCTATACTTAATCTCCCATACTGATGAAGTGAAAACATGTTTTTAGAGATTTTCAAAACTGAATTAAAAATCAAAAAACTGAAATCTCTTATTCACAAAAGCATTCAGAGTCTTTATTTAATACTTTGTAGAAACCCCTTTGACAGCAATTACAGCTACATATCTTCTTGGATGCATCTCTACAAGCTTTGCACATCTGGATTTGTGTCGTTTATCCCACTCTTCATGGCAGATTCCCTCAAACTCCATCAGTCAGAATGGCGAGTGTTTGTGAACTGACATCTTCAGGTCTCTCCGCAGATGTTTGATGGGGTTTAAGTCTGGGCTTTGGCTGAACCACTCAAGGACATTCAAAGACTTGCCCTGAAGCCACTCCAGTGCTGTTTTGGCTGTATACTTAGGGTCATTGTCATGTTGAAAGGTGAACTGTCGCCCCAGTCTGAGTTTGCTTGCATTCTGGAAGAGGTTTTCTTCAAGGATGTTCCTGTGTTTGACTGCTTTCATCCGTCCCTCAATTGTTACCAGTCTCCATGTCTCTGCTTCTGAGAAGCACCCCCATTGCACAATCCAACAGGTTCTCTTATCTCTGCACAGGACTTTTGGAGCCCTTGTAGCGTGACTGTTGGGTTCTTTCTGACCTCCCTGTCCAAGGCCCTTCTTTCCCAGATGGCCAAATTAGGAAGGTTCAAGGTTGTGCCAAGCTTCTTCCATTTCAAAATTATGGAGGTCACTGTGGGAACACTGTCCTGGAAACATTCAAAGCCTTAGAAATTGTTTTATATGCTTGGCCTGATCTATGCCTTGCCACAATTTGAACGCCGAGATCCACAGATACCTTTCCAAACTTTGTCCCATCAATTGAAATTGCAACAGGTGTACTCCAATTGAGTTCTTGACGCATCTTCGGGATAATTAAAGCTAACAGGATGACCATAATTTGGAGTGCCACAGCAAAGTATTAGAACACTTTTGTGAATAAAAGTTTTCAGTTTTTGATTTTTAATTAATTTTCGAAAAATCTATAATAATTCACTTCATCATTATGGCCAATTAAGTGTAGACTGACGGGAAAAACTAGCAATTATAGCCATTAAAAATCAAGTCCACAGCACAATAAAGTGTGCAACAAGAAAAGTGGTCTGAATACTTTCTGAATCCACTGAATATGGAAGAGGAAACTTAGCACCTTCCATTTACAGCATTTTGCTGAGGTCCATCTGGGCCATTCTAACACATTCAGGTTCTTGGTTTTGAATCACTCCAGTGTAGCTTTGGCAGGATTATCTTGTTGGAAAGTGAACCTCTGGGCCAGTGCCAAGTCTTTTGCAGACTGGAACCTGTTTTTGGCTTTATCCATCTTTCCCTCAACCCTGACCAGTTTCCCAGTCTGTGCTGATGAAAAGCATCCACACAACATGCTCCATGCTTCACTGTGGGGAAGGTGTTCTCAGGGTGATGAGCACCCACCCTATGTAGCACTTAAAGTTTAAAGTTTGGTCTCATCACACCTGAGAAGCCTTTTACACAGCCTTTTGCTGTGTCTTCAAATGGACTTTCTTCACACCACTCTTTTATGAAGCTCAGCTTTGTGGGGCTGAAGTTCCTTTCAGCGCCATATTGTAACAGGGGGTGAATACCTATGCAAGGCACTGGACTTACACATGAAATGTCTTGCTATGACAGTTGGTTATTTGTCCCAAGAAAATGTACTACTCCTTGTAATTTCTATTATGTCTGTATTTGTTTGGGAATATGT